AAAGAAATGGAACGCATAAATATTGACATACTAGGCAATGGAGAGATGAGATGGACTGGCATGGGGCATTTTGAGTCAGATGATCATATGATATATTATTCTGGAGATGAAAAGGTGAGGAAAAATGGAGTTGCTTTCATAGTCAAAAAAGAGATTTCTAGGTCCATCTTGAAATACAACATTTTGAGTGATAGGATTATATCCATACGCTTACAAGGAAGTCCAGTGAACACTACTATCATCCAGATATAGGCACCAACAACCAGAGCCAACGAAGAAGATATAGATGATTTCTACCAACTCTTATAGGCAGAAATAGATCGAACATGCAATCAAGATGCATTGATAATAATGGGCGAATGGAATGCAAAAGTTGGGAACAGGGAAGAAGAATCAATAGTTGGAAAATCCCAGAGGTATGCGGTTCAAATCCACCAGATGCTCTGCTGGAGACGGAGGGGGTAATCTCCTCTTGTACCAGTCAGATCTGATTTGACGGTACATGTAAAAATAATACAATTAAAAAAAACAAACAAACAGTGAGCTTTCAAAACAAAACAAAAACCAAGGAACTCATGGGATATTATTCAAAATGGGTCACCCTGGAGGACATTATGCTGAGTGAAGTTATCTCAGTCACAAAAGGACAAATACTGCATGGTGCCACTGTTGTAAAATAGGACTGACCTCGGGGTTGGGGGGGAGACTGAGAAAGATGGGTTCAATAATGTATACTGCATTGAAACAGATGAGGGAGAAAACTGTTTTAAAATGCGCATGTGATTAGGCATTTTTGTCATGACGAAGTCCAGAGTAAAGGCTGCATAGTGGAGTGGATCTGGGGGGAGGGAGTGTAAAACAATGAAAGAATTTTTATTCTACTTTTCCAAGAGGGTAGTGTACTGGGGAGGAGGGTCGGGAGGGGAGAAAAGTGCAACAATGAATGAATGGAAATCCAAAATATCTGTAAATTTTCATTGAAATAATAAAAAAAATGTTGAATAGTTTAAACTATCACACACACACACACACACACACACACACAGAGAGAGAGAGAGAGAGAGAGAGAAACATGTAAATACAACTGCAGGCAAAACTCAAACCCACTAACCGTGAATAATAATGACTCTTTTTAAAAAAAAAATTATGTGTATCTGGCACGCCTCAAAAAGCCTTTGAAGGTAGCTTGTCTTTTCACATAAGAAACTGCAACACAAAGCCCCAAACAACATTAGCATGGTCACTTAAGGCTGTGAAGCCAGGGTTCAAAAGCTAGCTGTCCGAATTCTAAGCCAGTGCACCACTCTACGGGAACGCGTCGCCTCTGGCTTTTAAGCGGAATGGTGATAGCACTATTGGCAATCTTACTGGGAGAATTAAATGAAATAAACATAAAACTCCGGATACACGGCGCACAATCAACACTGAGGAGTTAAGCCACAGGACTAACTTGATAATGGTGACACAATCACTTGTGAAACTAGGTTTCAAGGGCAGGATTAGAATTTTGCGTTCCAAAGAGTGGGCCAGCGATCAAGGTTTTTCTTAGCTTCAACTCCTAACGCAAAGTGTGGACGGGTTTTAGTTCGCTTTATAATGCCGCATCTCAAAAATCAGGGAACCCAAATCGAGCCTTCCCGGAAACCGGGAAGGGTCCGCGAGTCGCTGTTAGAAGCTCTTAATAAAGTCGGTATTTCTGTAGTACCTGCGAGTCTAAGTCTCAAGGTTATTTCCATATCGGAAGTGACGCACAAACACCGGCGCCGGAACTGTTCTTAGTAACCGAAACGAAGCGGTTGGGGACACCTGCAGTCGAGTGAGCCCCTCTTGAGAAGAAAGCTTGGCAACTTTGGAGGCGGCTATTGTCATGACGGCCCAAGGAGGCCTGGTGGCCAACAGAGGCCGGCGCTTCAAGTGGGCCATTGAGTTGAGCGGACCCGGAGGAGGCAGCAGGTGAGGGGGGGGGCTGAGAAATCTGACATCAGCGCTGTCATCCACAGGAATGGGGTCTGAGGCGCAACACACTAAAAAGGGTAGGTGGGAGACCTAGAGAAGTAGAGACTTTTCTGTTGTGCACGTTTCCATGCCCAAAGGATATTTATTTCCGTTCTCCCAACGGCAAGGGTTTGATGAATTCGCTAGAGGATTTGGTGTAATTTGAATAGGTGCAGCCAAAGATCCTTATTGCATGTGATTGGTAAAATGCAAAACGTGAAAGGCTTCAGCTTTATTTTTTTTTAAAATTTCCTTCCATAGGGGCCGAAGTGACCGGGGAAGTGGCCAGGGAGACTCGCTATACCCAGTGGGTTACTTGGACAAACAAGTGCCTGATACTAGCGTACAAGAGACAGATCGGATCCTAGTAGAGAAGGTACAGAAATCCAGATGCCACAATAGTCCTTGGCTAGTCTAGACCCACTCACCTAACCACTCACTCTTCTAGGTGGCTAAGAAGAATACTTTGTCGTTGTGTGTCCTCGAGTCGGAACTGACCCATAGCTGACCCTCCAGAGGGTTTTCAGAGGCTGCGAATCGTATGGGAGGAGATTGTCCATCCATCTCGAGGGGAGCAGCTGCAGGACTCGAACCACTTGCCTTTGGAGTTGCAGCGCAACATTATTAGTTGCCATCAGTTTCTATCAACCTTGCATACAACGAAATGAAATAGTGCCCAGTCCTGTACCATCCTCATTTTCGTTGCTATGTTTGAGCCCTTTATTGCAGTCACTGTGTCATCTCATTGAGGATATTCCTCAATTTTGGTCACCCAGTTCAAGCAAGATGCCTTTTCCAGCCACTGGTCCCTCCTGATGACATGTCTGAAGTATGTGAGATGAAGTCTTGCCATCCTCATATCTAAGAATTTTTCTGGCTCTAAATCCAAGACAGATTTGTTCATTCTTACGGTTGTTGTTAGTTTCACTTGTGAAGATTTTGTTTTCTTTTTGCTGAGATGTAAGTCACTGTGGAGTCTTTGATCTTTATCAAGTTCTCTTTGAGCATACACGGTTCTGTCATCTGCATACTGCAAGTTAATGAGTATTCTCCAATCTTAATGCTGCACTCTGCTTTATATAGTTTGTTGAATTATCTGCTTAGCCTATCAGGTGAGTAAGTATGATGAAAAGATAAAACCTTGATGCACAACTTTCCTGATTTTAAGCTATGCATCATCCCCTTGTTCTGTCTAACTGCCTCTTGGTCTATGCAAGTTCCAAGTGAGCACAACGAAGTGTTCTAGAATTCCTATTTTTTGCATTGCTATCCATAATTTGTTATGCAAATGGGATTGCATTCATCATCACAAAGAACATTTCAAGATCTATCCTGGCAAAAGATCTTGAAATGTTCTTTGTGATGATGAATGCAATCCCATTTCTCTTTGTTACGGCTAGCATAGTACACCCAAGATTGCCTAATTGACAATGGCCAGTACTGGTTTGTTTCAGTTCATTAATGTTAGGATACCAGTCTTTCATTTTTCACAACTTATATAATTTTTCTAGATTCATACTTTGTACATTCCAGTTATTAATGGATGGTTGCACTTGTTTCTCATTTTGACTCATACCACATCAGCAAATCAAAGTCCTCCTTTGGCTGAAAGAAATAGCATATGCACATGAAGCTATCTGATTTGAAGCAGGGAAAAAAACCCCAAAGAACTTTACTCCATTCACATGTAAACTACTTTGAGGAGACAGCTCTTCCCTGGTTGTCTTTTGTGTACCTTCCAACCGGAGGGTCTCATCTTCTGATATATAGGATAATATTCTATTACTAGTCACAAGGTTTTCAAGGACCCATTCTATAAGCATCTGGCCAGTACGGTTTCCTGCCTGTTGATATGTGCCATTAAGTAGACTGTGACTCATAGTGACCCTATAAACAGTGGATCTAGACCTTGCCTTGTCCTGTGCCATTTTCACCATCTCCGATATACTTGAGTGCATTGTTATAGAAGGTCTTCACCTGTGTTGACTCTTCACTTTTCCAAGCATGATGTCCTTCAAGGATTGGCCCTTCCTAACATGTCCAAAGTATGTAAGATGAAATTTCATTATCCTTGCTTTGAAGGTTGTGCTTTCTCCAAGACAGACTTCTTTGCTGTTTGGCAGTCCATGGATATTCAGTAATCTCCTCCAACACCACAGTTCAAAGGCATCAATTCTTCAGTTATCCTTAGTCATGGTCCTAAGTTTCAAATGCATAGCAAGTAATGGAAAAGATCATGGCTTTGATCAGACACACCTTAAAGTTGACACCACTGCTCGTAAGCATTTTGGAGAGGTCCCTGACAGCAGACTTTTCAAATGTGATATATCATCCTTTGATTTCTTGACTGCTAGTGTTAAGGGTGTTGATTTTGGATCCAAGGAAGATGAAATCATTGACATCTTTAATCTTTTCTCCATCTATCATGATTGGTCCAGTACTGAGGATTTTCCCCCCACCCTTGATGTTGATGTTATCCATATTGAAGGCAGTAATCTTTGATCATCTGTAGCAAGCACTTCAAGGCCTCCTTTTCAGCAACCAAGGTGTATTATCTTCAAAACACAGGCTGTTGAGTCTTCATAAAGTCAAACTTTTCAAATGATTTGCTCAGCATACAGATTGAATAGATATAGAGAAAGGATACATCCTTGGCACATACCTTTCTTGATTTTTAAACAATTCAGTGTTCCCTTGTTCTGTTAGGACAACTGCCTCTTGGTCTAGGTAAAGGTTTTACATCTGCAGGTTCCTCAGAATCCTATCCACTATTGGTGATCCAAGCAACCTTATGTTCTTTCCTCTTTCTGGAATGTTCTTTCCCCAGGCACCTCTGTAACTTGTTTCCTTACTTCCTCCAGGACTCTGATGTTCCTTCTTAGAGAAGCTTCCCTTCATGAAATTCTTTGTTCTGTGTGCTCTTTTTCTTTAGCATTCATCATATATATGATAAAAGTTTACTGCCTGTCAGTGAATTTGCTCATTTTTAAGTTCCAGGAGAGATTTTTTTTCACTGATATATCCCAGGTGCCTAGAATAGTATCTGGTACCTTCTTTCCTTACTACTTTTCTCTTTATATGATTCAATACTAAATAATCTTTGTTTCTTGGAATATATGTATTTTCACAGCATGAATGTGACATCCATTTTCAATTATTTTGATTAGGGGCATCCTATGATTTACATTCTTGGTATACTAGAGTATAAATACATGATAGCAAAATTTTTAAATGGTCTCATTTGAACTGTAGTTTATCATAAAATACATCTTTTAGAACAAGCGTCATGTTTGGACAAAATTTTAAATACTCATATAAAGAATCTTCTAAGTGAAGAATTGTTGTTGTTGTTGTTTTGTGCCATCGAGTCGCTTGTGACTCATAGCGACCCTATGTAAAACAGCCCTAAACCCTGCTCTATCCCATGCCAATCTCACTGCCTCTGACACATCCATCCCGATTACCCCAGTCACTGAATCAGTCCACCTCATAGAGGGTCTTCCCCTCCTGCGCTGTCCCTCTCCAAAGACCTGTCTCTCCTTACAACATGTCCAAAGTATGTCAGGCGAAGCCTCAGAATCCTTGCCACCAAGGAGCAGCCTGGTTTAACCCTCTGTAGGATGAATCTATTTGTTTTCTTGGCAGTCCATGGTACATTCAATACTCTTCTCCAGCACCACAGCTCAAAGGCGTCAAGTCTCCTTCTGTCCCCCTAGTCGTTGTCCAACTCTCCGATGCATAACAAGTGATTGCAAAAACCATGGCCTGTATCAGGCGCACCTTAGTCTCCAGAGAGACATCGCTGCTCTTGAGTACTTTAGAGAGGTCCCTAACCGCAGACTTTCCCATCGCAATACGGTTTTTTAAATTTCCTGGCTACTGGTGCCAAGAGTGTTGACCGTGGAGCCGAGCAAACTGAAGCTGTGAACAATCTCAATCTCTTCACCATCCACCCTGATGCTACCGATTGGTCCAGTGGTGAGAATTTTTGTCTTCTGGACATTGAGCCTCAGTCCATATTGAAGGCTGCAGTCCTTGACCCTCTGCAGTAAGTGCATGAGGTCCTCCTCAGTTTCAGTGAGCGCGGTTGTGTCATCTGCCTAAAGCAGATTGTTGATAGATCGTCCACCAATCCTGACGCCACGCTTCTCCTCATAGAGCCCTGCCTCTCAGATGATCTGCTCTGCATACAGGCTGAAAAGGTATGGGGACAGGACACATCCCTGGCGTACACCCTTCCCAATTTTGAACCATGCAGTGTTGCCCTGCTCTGTTCTGACTACTGCCTCTTGTGAAGAATTAGGGGATCATTTATAAATATGGCCACTTAATGTGGTTAATAAACCCAAGTGGGTAGCAGTATTTTGTTCTTTTCATATAGATGATTTTGTTTACTAATGCTTTGTTTAGAAGTTTTTGCATTTATGTTCATGTATTGCTGTTAGCCTGTAACTTTGTTTTCCCATAATGTCCTTTTTTGGTATTTATGAGGCTTCATACGATGTGTTGTAGAATTTTCAATCTAGAAGAGGAACAATTGTAGGACTATTATTTATATTCCCAAATTTTTGTGCAGTTTTATAAGTTGTACTGTTTTCTAGGAATTTATCCAGTTCCTGTACTTTTTGAAGAATATCACTTCAATAGCTACAGTTTTTTAGAGATTCTGCCTCTGCCCATTTCTGATGTTTACTATTAGATTTTACTGATCTTTTCTCAAAGTCCACCTTTTGCTTTGTTGCCCCATAATTTCTCTCACCTTTCTGTTTGTTCTTTTTCTACATATCACTCCTTCCCTCCTCCATTTTGTATTTAAGGTTATAGATGTCTCATCCCAGCTCTGTAACCCAACATGTTTTAATATGTGAGGTTGGCTTTTTTAAGTAATTTTAGTCCACATTGACCCACAGAGTACATTTGTTAATTCCAAACATAGGGGATTTTTCTAGTTATCTTTTTTTTGTTATCTGTAGCTTATCTGCATTGTAGCCAAAAGTCAGGCTTTGTATCATTGAGTTTTGATACTTCTTGTACAGCTGAGTAAGTGGGCAGGTTTTGTCAATAAGTGAGTATGAGGTCTGTAGTTGCTGGATGCAGTGCCCTAGATATATCACTTGGTTAAGTTTATATATAATGCCATCCAAATATTCTTAATTATCTGCTTGTTCTATTGTTAAGGTATATTAATCTCTCACTATGTTTGTAGAATTATCTATCTTTTTAACTATAGATGCCAAAGTAAAAGGACAAAACCAGAGAAGTCTTATCTTTAGCCAAAATCAAGGGTGGAAAACCTATGAGGAAAAATATAAACGATGGTAAAGATATCTGATCTTTAGAAGAGTGAATTGCCTGTAGCAAAATGGAGCTTTGAGGCTGAATTTGAGGTGTCATCTTGGTTAGAAACATGACATTGGCAAATCTATGTAACATCAGTGGTATACTATGGAACTAAGAATAGTGACCAGAGGTTAAAATTATTTGTTTTAGCGCTGCTGGGACATCGCCTTGGGTCCCCTTAAACAAATTCCCATGAATCTCTTCATCATGTACATGGCTGGCAATACCATCTCCATCTTTCCTACTATGATGGTGTGTATGATGGCCTGGCGACCTATTCAGGCACTTATGGCCATTTCAGCTAGTAAGTATTCTTTAAATTCTATTCTTTACCTACATTTTAAGAATTAAACCCAAATTCTTGGGCAAAATCCTTACTGGAAATCTTCGCCAGAACTCTCAGTTGCTTGCAGAGGGACAGTGGCATGGAGAGAAGACAGTACTTATCATGGTTTTAAATTTGCCTGTAATTACCCTGTTTGCCATCTTACCCCGAGTTTGTCTTGTATGGTTAAATGTATGTTTTTGTTTTTAATTTTTGGGTTTTAATGTGTGACTGCCAAAACCCAAACTGATTGACAGTAACAAGACATAGTAGAACTGCCTCAGAGGTTCCCAGGGCTGTTAAATATTATTTATGGGAGCAGATTGCCACGTCTTTCTCCCATAATGTCTGTTAAGAGTTTGAATTTTTGACCTTTTAGTTAGCAGCCAAGCGCCTAGCCACAGCTTCACCATGTTTTTCTTTTTTTTTTTTAAAAGCTTCACCATGTTTCTTAATACAAGGGGAGAGTGATTCATATGGAGGCTGGAAAAAAATAGGGAAATTGGATTTTTTTTTTAATCTTCTCTTATCCCAACAGCTTTCAAGATGCTGGAAAGTTCAAGCCAGAAGTTTCTTCAGGGTTTGGTTTATCTCATTGGGAATCTCATGGGCTTGGCGTTAGCTGTTTACAAGTGCCAGTCCATGGGACTGCTGCCTACACATGCATCAGATTGGTTAGCCTTCATTGAGCCCCCTGAGGTAAGAGGCAAAGTTAAATTTTGGTCAGTTGTAATATCATCCATTTGACAGTAGAGAATTAAGAGTTGGTAACAGACATCAGGCCTTAAGAAATTTCTTAAAAATATGCGAGTTGCCATTTTTTAAACGAAGGCAAAATACTGCTTGTCATTATTCAGTAACCGATTCAGGACATTATTTTAGCACTCATAACACCACTTACCTACTTTTTCTTTTTTCAGAGAATGGAGTTCAGTGGTGGGGGACTGCTTTTGTGAGCTTGAAAAAGACACTCCTGGCACCGTAAGAATTTGGATCTCATTTACAACTTTTTTTTAGACCGAATTGTTCTGCCTCAGCATACTCACCTTAAAAATTTTCCTTGCTGAAAAGGGCCAAACCATGCTCTTTTTTCCCCCATGATTAGGAGATAAACCCTGGATGGACAAACTACTACAAACACAAAAGAAACTACACCTCAAGCCCTGGTTGAAAATAATGTAGAAAACTTTATTTATGTTTCCAGTACAGAGCAAAACAACAAATAAATCTCTGTAAACAAAAGACTTGAGTGCTGCTAAATCAAGAACCACAACAGCAGCTTCTCACAATAAATTAAATGGTAATGACCAAAACAGTTGCACATTTCCCTTAAATCTATTTTCCTTAATATTTCACTTCTATTTAATACAAGTTGGGACATAAAAAGTCCATTGGAGACACTTCTGGAAGATGTTGAGAGACTAAAGCTGGATTCAGATTATACATGATGAGTAAAACAAAACCAGACAAAATGAGCACATAAATATGTTTACAATGTCATTTTTACTTTAATACCCACAATAGTGGATTTTTAACATGTTTAGGGGGAACAAGATTGGTGGGATCCTTGGGGCCACAGGAACTGGAGGCATTTAAAGGTCTAACCTACCCTGGTAAGTCACAGCAGAGACTTAAAAGCTGGCTTAACTTATTCAAAAGGCAGGAAGTCAGCATTCTCTTTCCTCTTGAAACACAAGCCCCTTCCCCTAAGGTGCATTTTCCTATCAAGTTTTCAGTATTGCTTTATTTGCCGTGATTAGGGAAGACAAGACATTATGCAGACAAACATAACACATACAGACATGAAATACTTTAGACTGAGATGAGTATACATCTGGCCTAAGAACCATTCTTCCATGTAACAGTGATTTTGTGATTAAGGGTCTGAAGTAGAATACAAGCATTCCCCTAGTTAAGAAGGAGATCTGTTCCCAAGTATGTCTAAGTTGAATTTGTAGGTAAGTAGGTGCATACAATTCTTATTTAGCTTTTAGTGCAAGAAAAAGGAGCCTTTTCAATGATTTACAAGCTGCGCAGGCAGCAGATGAAGGTGATTAAAGAATTTGTTTCAAACTGAGGGCAAATTTATATGACATTAAAGGGCAAGTACCTTTAATGTCTTAGAAATGTTCAGGTTGGATGTTAACTGGAGGTTTACTGGAATCTCAATCCATTGAAAGATTCTTACAGAGCTTTAGCCCCAAAGAACTTTTCTAACCTTATTTTTGAACCATTTTAGTCCTAGATGTGGGTGGGAGGGGGCTATGTTTAAATCCATTTGCCAAAGTTATGTGTGAACATAGCTGAAATTCTTGTGCAGAGTAACCTTTAAAATCTTGGATCCTAGGGGACTTTTTACCCCTCTGCTGATGTTTTCAACCAAACAGTGGAGTGTTGCAATGAAAGTTGTAATAATACTTTTATCCTCTTCAAGAAGGAGCAGCAAAGGGAATTTTTTTTAAAAAGTTAAGATCTTGCCCGCTTTGCTAAAGTGAGTAGGCCTAGAGGCTGAAAGAAGAGTAAAGGGAACAAATTAGAATGACTTAACTACTTAAGCCATATTGAAAGATCTTCCTCTCTGTCCCAATATGTCAACTGAATAAATTGCTGGCACCTACGTAACTTGCTCCGGTTTGCTATTAACAAAGTGTGGTACAAATCTAACTAAAGCAAAATCTAAAAGCTATAACAAGAAGACAGTTTCTGAAGACTCAATACATATTTGCAACTTCTGCTCAACCACTAAAGTTAGTTTCACTTTGCATGAAAGCCAGAAATGATGACTGTTAAAATTATTGGAGTAGGTATCTGGACGAGAGGGTAGCTGAGCTTCTGTAAGTATTCCCTGGGCACATAGAGCTTTCTGAAAACAAAACTAGCATAAGACCTCTCTAGCTTGAATAATACCTTAGTACAGAGCCAATTTTTGCAGACAGGATGAGGAAGGAAATCAAAAGGGAAAATGCTCATATTTTAGGCATTCAGGTAAATACTTTAGCTCTTCACTGCAACTTTCCAGATGAGACCATATACAGGATTCTTGGTGGAAGAGTTTCTTGAACTAGGCCAATGCCAGTTTGTATTTCACTTTAGCAATACAAGTAAGAAGAGTAGCAGCTTAGTAGCTTTGGCACTACGGAAAGAGTATGGCTGTAGAACTTCTAATTACATTACTGGATTCCTCCTTTCAAAGGCAGTCCAAACTTGTTAGGGAAGGATTTTAGCCAGTCTTCCTTGTGTTTGTTCCTGTGATTTTTCTGACCTATGCTTACTAATCCACAGAGTATATAAGGGAGAGAAAGACAGGAACACCTGTTAATCAATGTTCATCATGACCTATATTTTTATATAACAACTTGCATATTTTGCCATGTCACATACATAACAACAGTCTATTTCAATCTTAGTACCTACTTTGTGGAGTTCAACCATTTGAAAAGAACCTGCAATGAATAATTCTTAATTTATCTTTAAAAAAGCAACTTCCATTATAACATTGCCTGTTATAATCTTAACTACAGGATGGGTTTGGAGTTCAGACAGCTGAAATAGACATCAACACAATAATATATACTTAAACCTGGTATTCTGGGGGACTGTTTTGTTTAAGGAAGAAGTAGAAGATAATGTATCAGTTTTGCACATTAGTATCAAATGTAAAATTAAGAGTCTTAGCAATAAGCAACATGACAGAAAATTAGCTGAAAAGTATTTCCATCTTGGCTTGTCATGGGTTACCTCCAAGGATACTAGGTCCTCATATAGCTGGTCTTGAATTCTTCTAAGTTGAGGCTATATGGCTATCCCATGGTGTCACTGTTGAGCCAGGACTTCTGAGACTCATCTTTGATGGTGTATACATGTTTGGTGGTGGTTTTATTTTTTTTGTCTTCAGGTAAATTTCTAGCATCTCTTGCTAATTCATTCCAACTTGCCTTTGACAGATAGACATGGCTTTCAGGTCTTTGACCATTGCTCTTGTGCTGAGTATTTGTTTCTATAAAGACATCATATGGGAATAAAGAGTTGATCTATGTGTACCCTTCTGGATAAGTACTAAAGGTTTGGCTCATCAAGAGTTCATTATGATGTTTCTAGAACATAGGTTGAGTGGGGGTGGTAATAAAGGGCTGGCGCATCCATAGATGACGAGACGCTTTTTGGAAAATTGAGGCCAAGGAGAGGCATTCAGAAGCAAAATTATGAATAAATGGTGATCACTTCACTGCCACCACCCCGGACAAGGAGGACTCGCTCAAGTCCCTCGGTGAGCACTTCTAGGAACTCCATGTCTTTAGCACTTGTCAAGGAGACTAAGAGGCACAGAAGAGTCTACTTCAGAGCCTAGATTATGATAATCTGAATTTGACCACAGAGCTGCAAAATTGACACTCTTACCTTAATTATTATATGCTCAGAATTGGAAAAGTCTAAAATTTTGGATTGAATTTAACCCTGTGAAATAATCCACAGGTTCAAAATCTTTGCATATATAATACAAGAGTCTTATTTTCTAAATGTTATTTTTAAAATAGGAAATCCTTAAAGTAATGTGTTCTAAGTAGCACGACAATACCAAAATAAGGGGAGGGGAAGTCTCAGTAGGGCAGCTATTAAGATTTTTGGAGAACTCAAATAATTTCTAATTGAACCTATTCAACTAAAACTTTTCTAATTTTATTTTTAAACAAAACAAAACCACCCCACTTTTTATCCTTAATAGTACTGGTATGGACCACATGGCTTCAAGGGTTCCTTTAAAAACAAACATGGGATGAGAATATATGAAGAAACCCTTATGGAAATTCCACTTCAACTCCTACTTCCCTAACTTCATATTAAAGAGGCTTTGTAAGGTGAGTAGAACCTGGTAGGGAGAAACCCCCAAAATGCACTACCTCTGAGTTAAGTCCATTTCTGATTCATAGCAATCCTCAACTGGATATAATCTTTACAAGAGGAAGCAGCCCTTCTATTTTTTGGAACTGCTTGTAGATTTGAACTGTGAACATTTTGGTTAGCAATGCAACATATTATGCACTCTGCCACCAGGGCTCCTTGTAGGGAGAAAGAAGTAGGTTAGGTAATCTGTCTTCAGAATTGTCTGTACACTAACTATAAGAAACTATATTGTAAATACACCACTTTAAAAAGTCCCCTTATGATTCAGAGAAAATATTACACATACAATTTCCCAGAAAAGTATTTCTACTACACAGAATCCTTGTCTAAGACTTTTAAAACTCTTTCCTCCTCCAGCCTCTCAAACTAAAGGAAATTGGGAAATAGTAAATGACTTTATAGGTACTTAGTTATCTCATCTACTAAACAGGCTGAGAAAATTTTTGCTACTTGCAACTTCACTTTTAAAAAGGATACAGTTTTCATCACCCTCAGGGTTTCGAGGTGGCCCTGGCATATTCAACAACACCAGCTTTGCATCATGGGACTTGTTAACAATAACCTCATTGAGCTTGACTGCCGTATGCATCCGCCTCACATTGGACTGGTCCCTGATGTGAAAGAAAAAGATGTGGTTAAGGCAAAGAAAACTAGCCATATAGTCAACTTTAAAAACTTGAAACCCATACTTCTGTTTATTATGGATGTGGTTCACCAAATAATTTCCTCCACTTAAGATGTTAAGAACACCTTAAAGTACAAATAAAAATTACCTTTTATTTCTATTACTTGACCCCATAAAATAAGCAATTAAGTGAATGGGGTTATTTTATTAAGTGAAGATTTAAAAGAGGCTGTTTCAGAAAGTTGAGTTCTAATAGGTATAAAGGGAAAGAAACCATTTCAGTATTAAATCTATGAGAATTCTCAGCATGAAAAGATGAGCCGAAAACACAAAAACTAGACCTTCACTCCTCTGAATTTCTTAGATGTAACCAGAGTTATTTGAAATAGCAACTATTTAATGACTTTGCTTTCCTCCTGTTCCTGTGTTCTTTTGTTCTTTTTCTTTAAAAGGGCTGATGGGACCAAGGGTGGACAATAGTCTACCTGAATGGTCAGTAGTAAGGAGTCTCCCTCAAATTTAATAGCACCAAAAAATATGACCCTGACTCCAGGCTAAGTGTTTTCTATTTTTAAGGAGGAAGTAAAGCAGAAGAAAAATGAAGTTGCCGAATAGAATGTACAGAAGTCTAGCTGTACAACCTGATGACTTTTATACTTCAGCTCTTTCATTTGCTGGTTGAGTAAATTTTAAAGGCATGCTACTTATTCTGAGTTCTAGTTTTATCATTCTTCCAACAATGAGCCCCAGTGATTTTCTACTGTATATTAGTTACTGTCCTAAATGCTTTACATATGATTTCACTTTCATGACAAACTTATTTTTTTTTACATTATGTGAAATATAAGTGTAAGAACAATCTGATAACCAAACAGGATTAAAATATTAGAGAGTTGCTGTGAATGTCAGATGGGCTAGAACAGGAAAGTACTATAATGTAAATGTGTTATATACATGTAATGGCATTAGGGTGTATGGGTGGCACAAGTGGTTTCTGACTGCTTGTAAACTAAATGGCTCGTGAGCCTGAATAGTAGTCTGTCAATCTGCTTCTGTACAGATTGTAACTAAAAAAAACCTACAGAAGTTCTATGCTTAACCTCATGGGTCACTCTGAGCCAGGGCCAAACATGACAGTAACAAACAACAACAAACAGTGGCATTAAGGAATTACATTCTGTTTACCTTACGTTCCAGATTGGAAAAGTGACCGACTCATTAGTACTGGCCTAAACCACAAACACCAATGGCCACATCTCAAAATATGGCATCATCTAATCCACTTCTGATATCCTGAATACTAATAATCCGATTCCCTAATTCTCATTCTTTATGTTCCTTATTTCACGGTCTAATTTTCTTTGAGCTATTCAGCAATTTGAATCTTCCCTCGTAGTTTCATTTCTGTCCGTAGTCTATTCTGTCCGGAGCCTGGGAAGCATCATTTCAACAACTCTGCTTCAGCAATCTCTTGTTCTCATCTTGTCCAGTTTATCAAACCAAACACTTTTTACTCCTACCTGTAATTTTAGGAGCTGCTTGAGGACAAAAATAATCCAAAATGTGCTAAGAACTGTTAACGAGCTGTTGAGTCGACTATGGCCCATAGCGACCCTGTAAACAATGGCTCTGAACCATTCCCTATCCTGAGCCAACCTCACCGTCTCTGACATAACCTGATCCCAATACCACAGTTACTGTGTCAATACATCTCAACCAGGGTCTTCCTCTTCTGCACTGACCCTCTACCCTTCCAAGCATGATGTCCTTCTCCAAAGACTGGTCCCTCCCAGTGACATGCCCAAAGTATGTAAGAAGTAGCTTCTGAATCCTTGCTTTCAAGGCAAAAACTGGTTTTACCATTTCTAGGACAGACTTAATTATTCTCCTGGCATACTCTTCTCCAGCTCCACAGCTCAAAGATATAAATTCTCTTTCTATCATCCCTAGCCAGTGTCCAGCTTTCTGATGCATAGCAAGCAATTGTGAAGACTATGGCTCAGATTAGGTGCACCTTAGTCTCTAGACTGATATTCTTTGTCACTCTGGAGAGATCCTCGACAACAGCTTTTCCTAATGCAACTCATCTTTTGATTTTCTGATTGCTGTTTCCAAGCACAAGCTGTGGATCTAAGCACATGGAATATGAAAACATTAACAACTTCAATCCTTTGTCCATCTATCATAATGCTGCCAGTGGCCTGGTGATGAGGATCACTGTTTTTTTTTGATGTTGAGATATAATCCATATTGAAGGCTGCAGCAAATGCCTCAAGTCCTCCTCAGTTTCAGCAGTGTTGTGTCATCTGCATAACGCAAGTTATTGATGAGTTTTACTTCAATCCTGATGCCATATTCTTCATAAAATCCAGCCTCCTGAATGATCGGTTCTGCATACAGATTGAAAACATATGGAGAAAGGATACATCCCTGATGCACTTCTTTCTTGATTTTGAACCCCGTAGAATTCCCTTGTTCTGTTCGGACAACAGCTTCTTGGACTACTTTATAATAGTTGACTTTAGATATCCTTTTTTTTAAAATTTCCATTCATTCATTGTTGCATAGATATCCTTTTCAAACTGCTTTACAATTTAAAAAAAAAATTCTGTTCTGTTCCCTACATTCTCCTTAACTACTCCAAGTGTCTATGATTATTTTAAAATAGTCCAGGAGTGGGTGGTTCTTATCATACTTTGCTCTATCTTTACCCTAATTTCTCAAAGATGCTTCATTTCTTAGTTTACAAAGAAAAGGCTAACATTCTAGTCTCCATCTCTCTGCACCCTTGGCATAGGAGAATTGATGCATTTGAGCTGTGGTGCTGGAAAAAGAGTACTGAATATACCATGGACTGCTAGAAGAACAAACAGTTTTGTCCTGGCAAGGGTAAAATCAGGCTGCTTCTTGGAGGCAAAGATTCTGAAGCTCCATTTGACATATTCTGGGCATGTTGCAAGGAGGGACCAGTGCTTGGAGAGGGACTTTATGCTTGGAAGGGTGGAGGGACAATGCAATAGAGGAAGACCTCAATGAGATGGACTGACTCAAGTGACTGGGGTAATGGACGTAGGTATATCTGAGACAGTGACATTGGCACAGGACAGAGCAGGGTTTGAAGCTGTTGTATATAAGGTTGCTATGAGTCTTAAGTGACTTGACAGCACTTCACCACCACCACCACCACCACCATCTTTTATTTATATTTTTTGTTTTAGATGTATTATTCTCTTCCTCTAAGCTGCCACTTATGCACTGTGCCTTACTTAAATACTACCAATCCAAAAGTAAATGTTACTAAACTGCTTTATCTAGATTTTTGGCCATCCTCTCTTTAGTGACTGCCTGTATGTCTGTGTACCTCTTAAATTTGGTGCTTCCTTGGGTTTTTAGTTTTGTTCTACTTGATACATCTAATTATTCTCATGTATACAAATATCACACATATAGTGATGATTTCCAAATCTAAATTCTTAGTGTTGACTTTCCTATTGAGCTTCAGACATGTATCTAACTACCAGCACACATCTCCACAGACACCTAAAATTCAACTGAAGGATTTTGTATTTGTATTTGAGACATTAGTTGACTAATTCAAAAGTTGTATATAGGAATACTGGTTTTTCCCCCTAATGCCTATGGGATGCTTTATATAGCTCTTCTGTACTCAGTGGTGAAACTAGACCTACACTCCAGTTTACCTTAATTCACTCCTACTTCTGTAATCAGTCCCCATTTTCATACATCACCAAGTTCTTATTAGAAATATGAATCCATCCTTTAACACTGCCCATCAAAAATTCTCTTATGTAGTGTGATGCTAACCAGCATCTTGTCTGTGACTTGTTTATTAGTGTTTCGAGAAGAAAGATACCATGAACTCTTTAATTTTTATTCCAGCACAAATTCCTGAACTCATCAGAGACTGACACTTTGAGTATGCAGCACTGCACTTACCTACAGAATAAAAATTTCAGTTTGTCTTTAACGTCCAGCCTAATCTTTTGCTACCTTGTATTTTTTTCTCAATAAATCAACAGCTAGTTCTACCCACATGCTATACATTCTCATAAGAGACAGTGGTTAAGAGAGTGACATCTGGGATCAGATTAATCGGAAAAAAATTCCTGTCCTGATACAGCTCTCCTATGTGAATAACTAGGGAAATGATAATTTTTTTCAAATTTTCTTGCTTTAAAATAGTAAATTAAAGTGTCTATATCTAATTTAATTTTAAGGATTACATATATTCCATATGGAACTTTAGCACTTTAAAATGTACAATGACACTATTTTATACATGTAGATACATACTACCTTTGCCCAGATAACTATCACCCAAGTTGTTACTCGAAAATTCCTATTATTTTTCTGTGATAGTGAAAGCATAGTCTGTGAAGTTTTCTATTTTTAAAGCCAGTGTTTTCTTTTACTCTGACCGCTTTTATATCTATTAATCAAGTATTGTTAATTAAGCACTTACTCATTGTGTGCTAATTATTTCCTTTTACGAGAGGGAGGGGTTTTTATTTATGGAGCTAGCCAGATGCTACTTAACATATAGCAGGTATGAAAAGTAATTTTAGGGACTCAGTAGACTTTATGTCATTTCCCATGTATCTAGCTATGGAATTACCTAGAAGTAGTTTTCCTTATAACTTCTGTCTACTTTGTGCATCTATTAATTACTCTTTCAACTTTCTTGTCTGAACATTTTAATAAAATAAAACTTCCTTATCTCAATATCCTAGTTTGCTCATTCTACATTAATTTCTTGTCAAGAACAATGTATAGAGATGAACTATGTAGTGACTAGTCTATGTACTGTGTTAGCTGGAAGCTAACAGGCACAGCAAACAATAGAAAGAAATGGCTGAATTTGAGAAAAAAATGAAGAAGAGCGTTCATCCTGTTTACTTTGGCAAAGACACAGCTATGCCAACCAGGATACTGTATCATGGGATCAGCTTATGAGTGAGAAGACTTACGGGCGCATGTTAAGCAGGTCTTGGAATCCTTCCATTGACTTGGCTTTTTGCCCCCTGGATGCCATGTATTTGTCTTTTGTCCACGTCATATGTACTTTCTCCTGGTAAGTCTCTGTCTCATCATCCTCATCAGAGCCAATGCTGGTTAATCGTAACATTGAGTTCCGGTCTTTCACCAGCTGTGCCTGGGGAAGAGCCAATAGACTTATCACACACGATATGAAAATTTCACTTATGCATCAGCTTCAAATTTTGATACCACAGTGTAGGGTTTTTGTGAAGGAGCTGATGAAAAGGAAAGAATGAATTATCCTTTGAAAACAATGTAGCAATGTCCTTTTCAGTGGCAGAGTTCATACAGCCCTGAGTAGATCAATGCAGTATAATAGGCCTTACCTCTCTGTCCCGTTCTGTTTTGGAGAGTCGCATGTGTCGGAGCATCTGGGACCTCTGTTCCATCATCAGAGTTCGCTCATAAGTATACGCTGATATGTCACTATCATGCTGCCACAGAAATACACAGGGAACAATAAGCACAAAAGCCAAACAAAAATTGATTAACTTTGTCAGCTCACTAAACCAAACCACAGAATACAATATCAAGTGAGTTTTATTCCTATTTTTATCACTCATTGAACTACATAAATCTTGGTGTGAATTACAGACACATCCAGAAGCCTTGAGAATCTTTTCCATAATATATGTTGTTTCTGTTATGTGTTGTTGAGTCAGAACCGACTCATAGCTGACCTGTTGAACCTTTAATGAGTTTCAAAGGTCAACTGCAGGGAAATAGATTGACTACATTCTCTTGTAAAGAAGCTGGTGGATTTGAACTGCTTGCCTTTGGGTTGGTGGCACAACACCTTACCACTCTAAGCCACCAGAGCTCCCTTTAATCTCGCCACTACATATGTATGTATTCTTGGAACACAAACTCTTGTCTGTATTTTGTTTTTAATAAAAACAAAAAAAAAACAAACCAGCTAATTTTTTAGAAAAGAAAAAGAACAGCTATGTATAATTTGAAACATGAATATATGAATTAAAAAAGAGAAAAACTATTAAACAGATAAAAATCAGGAGGGAATATAAGGACTAAAAAAAAACCAAACAAGTGAAACAAAAACACAAACACACATCATACACATTCTATTTATCTAGGTCAATATTCTAGAGTTTTGTTAGAACTATGGGATTAATTTACATTTGAAGATAAACAATTTCCCAGACCAAATAAAGTGCTAGGCTCACAAGATGAAGATTAGGGGATGTGATCTCTTTGAGTTTAAACTCAGGTTTCTCACCATCTCCACCACTTCCACTTCTGCCTCAATGCGCAAGTGATACAGGAAGGTGGCTAGGTCCTTCTTCATCTGAATACTGTTGTCTTCTAGCTGGGCCACGGTGAAGATCCGTATGCTGCACTTTCGCCACACCTGAGGGAGTGCAAACATGGACAATTAGATATAAGAAGGAAATAAAAAAGAGGGATTCTTGCTTAGAACCAGAGCTCTGAACTGTTCTTCCTGGCTTAGTGTTAAGTAACAAAAATCAAGACAGACATGAATCTGTAAAAAACTCTGTAAAATTATAATAACCACAGCAGAAAATATTACATGTTGATGCCCTTCTAGAAACCTACCCTTTCTCAGAAAACAAAAGCAACATGTACATAGCAACCAAATCTTCTAATAGAACAAGCAGTGCCCACTCAAAGATGGTGGCTGACCCTGCTGCTCTGCCTGTGTATCATTCTCCACTTGTTCAGCCCATAGTTCAATCTCCCACAACAGCCTCTTGCAAAGGCTCACTATGCCTCATCTCTCATTGTAGGATTTCAGACTGTATTTTTTCCCATTCCAGTTATTGTTCTGATAGACTTACATAAAAAAATTGCATCTATTCTAATTATGATGTGTTGACCATTAATGAACCAGTTCAAAGCCCTGCTTAGAACAACCTTGAGATACTGTTGAAGGTGTTGTTGAGCCAGCTCTTAGTGACCCTACATACAAGAGAACAAAGCCTTGATCCTATGCCATCCTCCCAATCTCTACTGTGCTTAAGCCCACTGTTAAAATCACTGTGGCAGCCCATCCACTCAGAGTCCTCAATTTCTCTAACCTACTTTTCCAAGCATGATGTCATTCTCCAGAGTATTTACTCCTGGCATTTTACTTGCAATGTCAGTATACTAGAGCAAACACCTGAATAGACACTACATTAAAAAGAGCTTTAAGGAATTCCTTAATTTCATAGCAAGAAAACACTGGCCAAAAGGAAAGTATGTCATATGATATTTTAAAGTTATTGCCAGAGAATGGATTTCACCTCATAAAGTAGTACTTTATCATGTAATCTGGTAAGGTCATATATCTCTCTTTATAGAAGCAGACTGCCACATCTTTCTCCTGAAGAACAGCTGGTGGGTTCACACTACAGACATGTGGTTAGCAGCTAAATGCTTTAATCATAGCAACTCTAGAGTTCCTTGGTATAATTTAAGTGCATGCTATTATTCAAATACCATGCAGATTATACTTTTTATTTAATCTTAATTAGTCTTATTAAAGGATAAGCATATATGTATGTAACAAGTACTATACATTTTAAGTATATGTAATGCACAAATACATAACAATATATACCCTTAGGTTTCCAGTATTTAGAAGACTCTTGTTTTCCCCAAAGGTTCATATGGAATTTTACTTTGTTTGCTAACTTTTATTTGGAGATGGGTACGTATCAAATACAATGAGAAATATTATTAAAGCTGAGATAGACCATGAAGAGCCAGGAATAATTCCTATCTCTTCTGGGTTGTTTTGTGAACCAGGAAAGAAGTTAAGGAAGAAACGTCTTATTTTTTAAAAGGTGCTAAAAATTACCTTGTGCTGTTTGAGGAGGAATGGTAATAGCATGAGCATTCCTCCATCATGCACAATCCACCACACATCAATGTTGCCCTCAGAGAATTGCTCTACATTGCTGGGAAAGAAGGAGATATTCTTGGCTACCAGCAGCGCAAGATGAGCAGCAGTTGTTACTCGAACTGTGCCTGGGGGGTGGAGAGTGGGGGGAGTGAGAATCAGGATGAGTATAGGACAATCCCTTCTGATAGCTCCTGCCATGTCAGTAAAACAGGATCACTCTAGTTTACATTTCTTTGAGTAAGGAGTCCTATTTAAAGGGTACGTTATACCTCAGTAGCCAACAAAAATTATGAAAAATCTAAATAGCTAAGAGATTTAGAATGACAATCACAGGTAATGTTAAGGGCCTGTACAATAAGATACGCGAATTTAGGAGATTCTGATGCCGAAGGACAATGGGTCCCAATTCTGGTAAAATTATTAATTTATGAAGTAGTACATGAAAACAGCAATTTAGGAGATAATTTCTAGCAGAAGACTTGACAGATAAATTAATATAAAGTAAAGCTGGGGAGAGGGGTTGGTATACAGATTATTTTAACTAATAGTTATAAAAAGAAATAGAAACCAAACCAGTAGCCTTTGAGTAGACTCTGACTCATGGCAACCCTGTGCTCCACCAGGTTTTCAATGGCTAATTTTTCAGAAGTACATCAGAATGTTTTCCTTCTAAGGCACCTCTGCATGGGGTCAAACTGTCAAACTTTCAATAAGCATATTACCCATTGTGCCACCCAGGGACTCCACTAGTTACAGAAGTGCCTTTATAAGTCCATGCTGCAGTAACAGCATAGTCTCTTAATAAGAGGGCGAAAGTTGAAGGTAAGGTGAATTAACTAAATCCCTTATTTAGGTCCTCAGGATAATGATGAGAAATATTTAGTACCAATAAAAATCTTCCACGCTCGAGCGTCTTCACTCTGACGCCAGCCATTGGGCCAGCCCATCACCACTGTGTTGTGCTTCATGCCCCCAAGGCCACACGACTGGATGAGATGGGAAATGCCCTCTCTTAGCTTGGCTGCCACCACCAGCTGGCAGAATCCTTTTACCTTTTCTGCCTCCATTAGGTGCTTTATCGTCTGAAAGAAACATAGAATCTCAATATTCAACTGCATCCAAAACTATTTCGCTAACTCTGACTCCATATATATTTTCCTCTTTCAAAACTCAGTATAAGACCACATCTTCTATGGAAGAATTGGAAAAAGTTAATGATCCCAATGAAAGACACTATCCCTTGCCCTTGTACATTTTAAATACTTAATAACTATCTAGATACCAATGAACTGGCTGTCTTCATCTAGTTTTTCTGCCATTTTGTCTATTCCCTTTTTCTTCCTTTCAGACAGACATTAAATCAGATAAGAGGGTCTTTACAAAGTGACCATTCACTATTCTTTGTTCGTCAATCAGGATAAATTCTCTCATGTGAACATAATCTCCTTTCTTGGCCTTGCTCATACCTGACTCAGATTACAAGTAAATCTGATGATTCAGTTTCACTTTAGATTTTCTCAGGTACATTTTCTTTTTTACATGTCTTTCCATCTCCTTTCAGGCATTTTAATGGTGATTACTGATGACACTTGGTTGTATTTTACTATTATGTGAAATCCTCTCTTACAGAAAGAATGGCTTTAAAAATTATTTTTCTAAAGGCACAGAATAAGTAGTTGGTGTACCTAAAAAGTTGAATTTATTAATTTCTACCATTGTTTTCAACTAATGTTTCTTTAGCTTTCCTAGCTTCAAAGCATTCTAAAATTAATCCCTAATACTTCTGAAATGCAATTGAAAATTTCCTTCACCACAACAAGATAAAGGTAAATAATCCAATAGAAAAATGGGCACAGGATATAAATAGACACTTCACCAAAGAAGACATTCAGATAGCCAACAAGCACATGAAGAAATGTTCAAAATCTCTACCTCTAATAGAGATGCAAATCAAAACAACTATGAGATATCATCTCACCCCAGTCAAAATTGCAAAATTTAACAGAACAGCAAGCAACACATGCTGGCGAGGTTGTGGAAAAACTGGAACCCTTATTCACTGTTGGTGGGAGTGTAAAATGGTGCAACCACTGTGGAAGATAGTATGACAATTTCTCAAAAAGTTGCAAATAGAGATACCATTTGACCCAGCAATTCCAATACTGGGAATATATCCCAAAGAGGCCATCCATAACCGACATCCAAGCAGATATATGCACACCCATGTTTATTGCAGCTTTGTTCACAATAGCAAGGACTTGGAAACAACCTAATTGTCCATCAACAAACGAATGGCTAGAGAAGCTGTAGTATATTCACACAATGGAATACTACACTGCACTGAAAAACAACTCAAGAGAGCTCTGGTGGCCTAGTGGCAAGAAGCTGAGCTGCAATCCCAGAGGTACATGGTTCAAGTCCACCAGATGCTCTGCTGGAGAAGGAGGGGCAGTCTCCTGTACCGTCAGATCCAATTTGATGGTACATGCAAAAAAAAAAAAAAAAACAAAAACAAAACCCCAAGGGAAAAAGAAACCAAGGAACTCATGCAATATTATTCAAAATGGGTCACCCTGGAGGACATTATGCTCAGTCACAAAAGGATAAGGATAAGTATCTCAGTCACAAAAGGATAAATAACTACATGGTGCCACTGTTGTAAAACAAGACTGACATCGGGGTTGGGGGGAGACTGAGAAAGATGGGTTCAATAATGTATACTGCATTGAAACAGATGAGGGAGAAAACTGTTTAAGAGGGAAGTGTTACTAGGTATTTTTTTCATGACAGGAGTCCAGAGCGAAGACTGTATAGTGAAGTGGACCTGGGGGGGAGGGATTGTAAAACAATGAAAGAATTTTTCTTTTACTTTTCCAGGAGGGTATTGTACGAGGGGGGAGGGTTGGGAAGGGAGAAAAGTGCAACAATGAATGTTTGGAAATCCAAAGTCTCTGTAAATTTTCATTGAAATTAATAATAAATTTTTAAGTACAACCCTAAAAAAAATTTACTCAAAAAAACAGCCTTAGGTTACTTCTATCCTTTATAATAAGTATTATAGTGAAATCTTTTTTTGGGGGGGTGTGAAACTTAATATTTAGTATATAGCCCATGGCCATTAAGTTGATCTTGAGAGAAAAGAACTGTCTGATAGGATTTCTAAGGCTACAATCTTTAGGAAGTAGACTGCCACATCTGTCTTTTGTGGAGCCGCTAGTAGGTTTGAACTACAGACCTTTTTACTTAACTACTGCACTCCATGGGTTCTTTAATAGTCAGTACAAACCTACTGACATCAGGCTGATTCTAGCTCACGGTGACGCTCCATCAGGTTTCCGAGGCTGTACATCATTAGAAGAGGAGAGTGCATCCTTCTATGAAGTGGCTGGTGGCTTTGCACTACTCAGCTTTCAACTGATCAGTTTAACACGTAATTTACTATGCCACTATTGTGGACAAGTTTGCTACTTTTGATGAGCTATAATGTTTAGTACTTAACAAATAATATTATTTTGCATAGCTAATCAGAAATAGCAAAGATACTTGTTCATAATACCACACAAATTAGTGAAAAGAAAGAAAAGTTACTCAAAAGTCATAAATCTATGAGGAACCCTCTCATAATTTAGGGAACATTTACATACATCATTTTTTCAGTTTTCAGAGAAGATAATTGGCATTTGTTTGAAAATTATGCTTATTAGCTCTGATAATTTTTTTAGAAACATAGGCTTTAAATGGGAGGGGAGGGAAGAATAAATTACTATCTCCTAGCTCATCTTAATTATTTGAGGAAATATGAAAATAGCAAAATCTGCACAAACTAAAAAGATCACTCAGGAAAGAGATTCATTATAAAACCATAGGTCTGATCATTTAACATCACAAAACCGTAAATTTATTTCTTCCACTAAGTTAGAAACCCTGGACTCTTACCTGCTCAGCAGCTAAAGCCTCACCATAGCTCTCCAGGAAGTTCCCCACAATGACAGAGCCCACAATAGTGAGACCCTTTCCAGCCTTGAGCTGTGAGGCAAAGGTGAGGAGACGAGGATGCTTGACATGTAAGTCTTCATCTAGTTTCAGCAGTACAAGCAACTGAGGCCTGTAAAAGGGTGAGGAAGAAAGGAAAAAACGCTTGGGGGAGGAGAATGAAAATTCTATTCTTTGGTTCACGAGAGTTGTACAAAGTATGTAACCTGACAGAGAAAACATGTTAGAAGAAATAAAAGGATGTGAAAATAATGGAGTTATTTTGAACTCTCCCAAATCAAAGTGATCAATCTTTAAAAAATAATTAAATACAGTTGAAATCTAGATCTTAACTCATACAAAGATAATAGAATCAATGAATCAAGAACTGTGGATAATTTAGAAATAGGTCTATCATACAATTCTTTGAACCACATCACATGATTTCCTTTTTCATATAATAATTTTGTGGTCTAACTATGTGGAAAACATCACTAAGCTCTGTTGATTTCTTTACCTCCAGTTTTTAGTGTGTGGTGGTCCTTCCTCCAGCCGAAGCAAAGCAAATCGGGCTGCACTGAGGGACAGCCCACGGATACCATCGCCCCATTCTTTTTCAGCTCTGTGAAGAAAAGAAGATACAGATTTAAATGATAGCAAATATTAATTTCAAAAATTTACGTTTACTTTCCTGATTGTGAAACTTAAATCATGCACAAGGTAAAATACAAAACTCATGTTAATGATGTGTTTATATGATGCTCTGCAGTAATGTAAGTAAGTTACTGTGGGCAGATCAACACTGCCTTTTACCAGCAGACTGTACTACATAAGCATTCAGGGGAAAAGTAAAAATGGTCATTCATTTGGTCCTTCTATAGAACTATTTAAAAACAATAAAGTAAAACAGCAATTTAAACTAAGACTACAGACCCAGTTCAAGTTAATTTGAAAATAAAGGGAAGAAGCCAAAACCAATGTAATCTTCTGAATGGGAGTGTTACTTCTCAGTTTTTGAAATGGTTAGTCAAGCCGTATTACTAAGCTATTAAGGACTAATTTCATTTTCATGTCAGATAGAAACGGAAAGACTGACACAATACATAAAAATACTTATCAGACAATGTCTATTGCAATTAATCTGGAACAGTATATATACTACGAATTAAATGGGGCAGGGAAGAAATGACTGGAAAAAAATAAACAGGAAGTGTATAAAGGGAAAAGCAATATAAGAAAAGGTTTGCTTAGACATTGTAAAAAGTTAATTATATTAATTAATGGTAATTTATGCCGATGAATGATTATCTGAAAAAAAAAATCAACAACCCTGCAACAATTAACATGAACTTTCACTCGAAAAAATTACTGATCAATAAGGTTTTTTAGTTATTTTTCATTGATCCTTTCAAATTATCCCCACAGGTTGCCTTTGTAATTAAAAGCTTGAATCTGTAATATTAACTAAATTCCCTAGAGAGTTTCTATAGTTATGTGTCATCTAGTCTATTCCTATTTACATCAACACTATTGGACAAAGTAGAAAAGTCCCACAAGATTTCCTAGGATGAAATCGTTATGGCATCAGATTGCCAGGCCCTCCTTCTCCCAGAGTGGCTAGTGGGTTTGAACTGCCAACCTTTTTAACTAAATTCCCTAGAGAGTTTCTATAGTTATGTGTCATCTAGTCTATTCCTATTTACATCAACACTATTGGACAAAGTAGAAAAGTCCCACAAGATTTCCTAGGATGAAATCGTTATGGCATCAGATTGCCAGGCCCTCCTTCTCCCAGAGTGGCTAGTGAGTTTGAACTGCCAACCTTTTTAGTTAGCCACTAAGTGCTTAAACACTGGAATGAAAAATTTAGTTATGAAACATGCAAGTCTCTTAAACCCATAATGCAATTTTCATTGGACTAACTAGCTCTAACTACACTAGCTAGGTCTGACACATTTAGTAGTGACCAAGGTCAGGTCCACAGTTCATTTGCACAGCTACAGACTCACCCTTGGTACTCAATATACTTGTAGATCATACCAGCAATCACCATAGCTACAATGGCATAATACCAGGAAGAAATGAACATCAGAGCCAGACAGATACTCATTCCCATGAAAGAAAGAGTCCTACAAAATTAAAAACAAACAAGAAATTCTTTCTAAGCAAGTAAAAAATGAACCATATGATAAAGCAGTATTTCTCAAACAATTTATCATAAGAGACCATACAGATTCTTTTCCAATATACTGAAAACAAATGCTTTTGTAAAATTCAATGACAATTATAAGAAAATTCATGACAAATGTGGATACTATGACAATGTCAAATTGCTACAAAAGTTTGTAAATGTTTATTTACATTTTTATACTTGTTCTTTCATGGACTGGAAACAGTGAGCTGAACGGCAATGATCTACAGCCACCCTTTGCAGGGGTGGATGCTTCCTATTGCTTGAAAAGCATAAATGAACAAGCAGGATATAATATCTATCTGAAGTTATAAGGACAGGGAAAATACACTTGTCAAAACAGAGACGGGATATGTAGTTTTCCATTGCTAACAACTCAGTAGCCTTTAGAAAGATACTTCATATAAATAGCCTTGAAGATTTTATGAACATTTATTAGTTAAATTGCAGAATCCACAAAAACTTGCCATGAGATTTATTTTTTTGCTTTCATAAGAAAAACTTGGCAGAGAATAATGTATATACTTATTCTGAGCAAATAAATCAAGTAGACAACCACATTTATTGGAGTTCTTTTGTACACAATGACTTCCTAGCTGTATAATCAATTTCAAGGGTGGAGAGGAGAAGTGTTAACCTAGAGACATTTAGGATCTGGTGACAACACAAACTTGAGAGAGAAAAACAACAACAGAAGCAAAATAGCAACACAATGTTCACAATGCATTTTAGCCAAAGTTGAAGCTAGAAAATGGATCAGATATCATAATATTCTGAATATTTAAATTTTCAATCACTGCTCATCATTAGTAAAAGTGAAATTAGAAAATAGTTAAGAAGTTAGCAAAGAGGATGGATGTAGTGACAGGTACAAATGTTGTTAGTGGAGTCAAGTTGACTTCTACTCAGAGCTACCTTTTGGAAAATGGAACTCAACCCTGCCCTATCCTGTGCCAGCCATCCTTATTATCTCTGATATGCTTGAGCCTATTGTTACAGTTACTGTGTCAATTATCCTGTTGAGGGTCTTCTTCACTTTGATTGACCCTCCAATTTTTCAAGCATGATATCTTTGTCCCAGGAATTGGCCTTCCTAACAATATGCCAAATATATGTGAGATAAAATTTCATCATCCTTGCCAGCTGTCTTCCACATTTCTTGGCACAGACTGGAGAGCACACCAGAGTTGCATCTGTTTGTTAAAACATGTCTTTTGGTATCTAATTAGTTCCTGGGACCTTTTTTTTTTAATGCCTTCATTACCACTTGAATCTCTTCCTCGAATACCACTGGTTCTTAATCATATTTTACTTACAGAAGTTGTTCCATGTCAATACATTCATTTTGGTACAGTGATTCTGTATAGTCTCTCCATCTTCTTTTGATGCTTCTTGGATCATTCAAGGTTTTGCCAATAGAATCCTTCAGAATTTGAACTCAAGGTTTGAATCTTTTTTTAGTTTTTTCAGCTTGAGAAATGCCAAGTGAGTTCTTCCCTTTTTATTCTCTAACTCTAGATCTTTACATATTTCCTTACAATTCTTGGTTTTTCTTCTTGAGCTGCCCTTAAAATCTTCTGTTCATCTCTTTTACTTCAGCACAATTGTTGAGTGCTGTCGAGTCAGAACCGACCCATAGCTGACCCTCTAGCATGTTTTCTGAGGCAATAAATCATGAGATTTACCACTGCTCAACCTTTTCCAGTGGAGAAGCTAGGTGATTCGAACAGTATACCTTTGGGATTGCAGTGTAACTTCTTACCACTAGGCCACCAGAGCTCCCTTAATTCAGTACATTAAGTCATATTAAAAACTTTTAGTTATATAGCTAAACATTCTTTAACTACTAAATTGTTGTTGTTGTTGTTATTGTTATGTGCCATCAAGTCGCTTGCGACTCATAGCGACCCTATGTACAAAAGCCCTAAACTCTTCTCTGTCCTGTGCCAATCTCACTGTCTCCACACACCTACCCTGATTACCCCAGTCACTGAATTAATCCACCTCACAGAGGGCCTTCCTCTCCTGCGCTGTCCCTCCACCCTCCCAAGCATGATGTCCCTCTCCAAGGACTGGTCCCTTCTTGCAACATGTCCAAAATATGTCAGACAAAGCCTCAGAATCCTTGCCTCCAAGTAGCAGCCTGGTTTGACCCTCTCCAGGAAGAGATGCTCCAATTGGCAGCATCAGGATGTATGGTGAAGAGACTGAGATTGTTCACAGTTTTAGTTTGCTTGGCTCCACAGTCAATACTCTTGGCACCAGTAGCCAGGAAATTAAAAGACGTATTGCCATGGGAAAGTCTGCTCTTAGGGACCCCTCCAAAGTACTGAAGAGCAGTGTTGTCACTCTGGAGACTAAGGTGCCCCTGATACAGGCCATGGTCTTTGCAATCACTTGTTATGCGTCAGAGAGTTGGGCAATGACTAGGGATGATAGAAGGAGAATTGATGCCTTTGAGCTGTGGTGCTAGAGAAGAGTACCATGGACTGCTAAGAAAAACAGGTTCATCCTGGAGAGGGTTAAACTACTGAATTAAATTGTTATAATAGAGTTTGAGAATGAAAATTGATGAGAATATGAGGAAGAAAAGAGAAAGTACTGAAGTTTAGTACTTAGCTAAGAGAGAAATGGGAAAATAGGTGTAAAAGGGGACACACTGGACATGTTTATGTGATTTTTTTAAATTCTCGTGTTAATATAATTATTATAAAGCAAGAAAAGTAAAAAATGGAGTTCCAGGTAAATACTGAAAGTTCAAACAATTAGTATAGTGTAGTAATCTAAAAAAAAAAAAAAAAAAGAACTACTCTTGAGAACCCAGCCCTCCCAGTTTTCGAGTGTAATGACGAATTCTTCCTAAATACTGAGAAGAAGGAAGAGGAAAAGAAAACATACTTACCAGTGGTAGTAACGGAATCGGGGTCTCCAGTTGGGTGTTCGAAGTAATGTTTGCAAGGCACATGCCAGATTCACAAAAAGGTAGCACATGAGAAAAAACCTAGAAGAATCAAAAAAGAGGGATGCTTATTAATGTAAAATGCTTCATACAGGGTTATTTTAAATAATTTGTTGTATTTTTCTTTGTTTCTAGACTACTAATGCTTGACTAGGTAGGGGTCCCCGGATGGTATAAATATTTCATGACTAGTTAAATGTGGGCTGTTTAAGTCTAGCCAGAGTACTTTGGAAAAAAAGGTCTAGTGATCAGCTTCTAAAATGTCACATCTGTGAAAATCTGATGGAGTTGACCCAAATCACAATTGATGCAACAGTAACTAACAAATAACCTTAACTAAGTCTAGGAAGTAGAAAAACATAAAACATGCTCATTTTCCCACGTTCTCTCTCTCAATGAATGGCACAGCTAGCTCTTTACTCTTTTGTAAATTGTTCTTGGGACACTACTACTTTTCATCTTTACTTACACTTCCTTCACAATTCACATATTGACTCCTATAGATCTTACCTACTTAAAATCTCTTTTCTTCCTTTCTATCTCTATTAATTTATCACCTCAGTATAGGGTCTCCTTTCTCCTTTCCTGGATTAGTCAAATAGGCTTCCAACTGGCACTTCTCAACTTAATTTCAGATATTCTATAATTAAGTTTTATATCAAAATGATAATTCTACATTAGAAACAAAATAAGTTACTCTCCATGATAAAAGATTATCATCTTCTAGGTAAAAGCTTCAGGCCCTTTGTGATTTGGTTCAACCTATTTCTCCAGCCTGCTACTCTTCTCAAAATGCTCCTTCCGCTCACTCAATTGTGTGAATGTACTACACTAGCTACTTCTTTTTTTCACTGACTAAAACATCCTTCATGACTTTTTTGTTCAGTAAACAAGCAGTCATCCTTGAAGATACTCACGGGAGAGTTAGACAGTCTCCTCCTGTGTGATTTACTGCCTCTGAAAACTCACTGGATGGTCAGCTATGGGGCCGTTCTGACTTGATAGTATACAAGAACCCTGAATACTCTGACACTTTGCCCATGACACCTTTCTTGGTTCCAAGTTAGTTTAGCCTTACTGGACTTTTCATACCGGACCCAGTGTTCAACTTTATCCAGAACTCACCTCTTGGACTCACTCATTTGCTTATCCACCTTTTTTTTTTATAGTTGGTCTACATAATTACATAGAGCTGAACAATGACTAAGAATACAGAAAAAGAATTGATGCATTTGAGTGTGTTGCTGGATATGAGCATTGAACATACCATGAACTGTCAAGATAACAGGTCTGTCTTAGAGAGGGTGAAATCAAGCTACCCCTTGGAGGCAAAGATTTTGAGATTTCATCTCACATACTTTGACATATAGCCAAGGGGACCAGTCTTTAGAGAAGGGTAACATGTTTGGAAGAGTCAAGGGACAGCACAAGAGAGGATGACCCCAGATAAAATGGGTTGACACCATAACTGGGGTAATGAGGGTAGGTGTGTTATGCTTATCCACCTTAAGACTGTCTCTTCTTCATCTTTGTATTCCATACATATTACAAAGTGCCAGGTGAGCAGCCAAGTCATCAATAAATAAAATCTGAATTAATAAGGCTAATAAAAACTAGTAGTCAAAGCTATAATCAAGTGATAAATCAGAAATGAAGGAAAGAACTTTTGAAGTTATGGACGTAGATGAAAACTGTGACGATTTATCAAAAATAGCCTTATGTAAAATTCCTCAGAATATTTATTACTTAAGGGCAATTACATCTGTATTTGACCCACTTTTGCTGTCACTAGTTTTATATAGCCTGATGGAAAATAACACACATCAGTCATCATTTTAGAACAAATAACTGAACAAAAGCACTTGACTCTTACATGGAAAGGATTGGGGCCACAAGATCAAGGGAAGCAATCAAGATTCCCAGCTCTGCAATGGCAGCAGTTAGTAGTAAAGCCCAGGTAGGTTCTCCATTGGCTTTGCTGTGACCAAACACCTGTACATAGATGGAAATATCAAGGAAGTGTGGTAAGTATTTGATCAACATCCACAATCTCTCTACCCTAAGGATTCAGATCATGAAAGAGAAAAAAAGTGGTATTTGTGAGTTTTTAGAACACTTTTTACTGTTTTCTAACATAAACAGAGTCTTATACTAAAACCCAAATCTCTATGTTATATAACCTCATATTTATTAAGCCACATCATCTTACATAAAGACTAGGAAAAAAAGAAAGAGGGCATAGGAATAGGAAAGAGTCACTCACCCTAAGAAATGGTATAATGTTATCCTTGGCAATTGCCTGTAGCAGCCGTGGTGCACCTGTGAGGCTCTGAAGTCCAGCTCCACAGGTTGAAAAGAAGGATCCAATAACAATCACCCATGGAGATGGCCAAGACAAGGTACCTACCACTAAATTACCTTTCACAGCATCTCCAAACCTGGGAGAAAAATAAGAATTGGGCAATTTAATCTAGAAGTAATTCTGAGTTTAAAGACAAAATATACTTTCACTTAATTCCAACTATTTATAATATTTAGAAAATAACAATTAAGGAAGGTATGAAAATCCAGTGGAGAGTCAGCTAGGAGTTGGTTCCACCCAGATGGCATTGGTTTGAGTTTTGAGATGAATATTACAAAATGATGGGACTTGATAAAAAGGCACAGTCAATCTATATTAAGAAAAACAATCTGTAGGGATAGGTTTTTATCCTTATCTAAACTAAGTCTCAATTATAGCTTTCTCTCCAAATTGCCAAGTCACATTTTTCTCATAGAGAATAAAAACAACTAGAAAAGTACAGAAAAACACAATAAAGCACAAGGTGTGGGTAATTCACATTAATGTTGATATCAGTATTCTGCACACTTCATTATAGTCTGTTTTTAAAACACAGAAGCAATCATAATTAACCAATTTCATATACTTTTTAAACTTAAAAGCATTTTCTTCTGTTATTTTATAGAAATACATTGTTGGTGGCTTAAATAATTTTGCATCATAATTTAAAACATCAATTCTTCTAATGTTGGTTTTCTATTACAGAAAATATTGAACTTAACATTTCTATACAAGTACCTATGTTAACATCTCATAATTCTAAGAGGGAATGACTGTGACAAATGAATAGCTATTTTTAAACATCCTAAAAGAATTAAAAATTGCTTTCCAGAAAGATTATATTAAGTTTTCCTATCACAGGCACTAGACAAAGGCTCAAGTCTTACAGCATAGGTATACTGCATGCCAGTAGAGTACTGAAATAAATTTTTTTAAATTGCTGTTAATTTGACAGGTGAAAAGTGGCATCTCAGAGTTTATTTAATCACATTTGTTTTAGTAATAATGTTTTATTAAGTAATATAAAGTTCAAAATCCAAATGCATAGCTCAATTAATTTTTTTAAAATAAATATTTTTAATTTTTAAAAAACAAGATGGACATAGTAACTGGGGTAATTGGGTTAGTAGTGTCGAAAATAGTGTGACTAGCTCAGGATAGGGCAAGGTTTACAGCTACTGTACATAGTGTCGCTATTAGTTGCAGATGACTTGCTAGCACATAACAAGAAGCCAGCAGAACTCCCTAATCAAATATAGAGTAACAAAATAATACAAAGACACCACCATAACCACTCCTCTGGATGTAACTACCATTCAGGTCAAGAAACACAAGATTTTAAGTACCTAGAAGTCTCTCTTACGAATAGTCCTAGTTACTTTTGGATAATTTCTCCCTACTATTCTAAATTCTAAAGGAGCTCTGGTTAAAACACGTTGCTACTAAACTGAAGACAGGCATATTGCTATACCAGCCTAGACTACCCATACCTGCTTTACATGAACAAAGGGCAGAGAACTGCATACACTTCCATCTTCTGCCACATTTATCAGAATGTTAAACACTAAATATTGTCAAACTAGTAAGCTACGCAACACACTTAGATAGCTCAATCAGAGATGCTTTTTTGTGCACCATCAAACTGAAACTGACTCACAGCTGATACCTCAGCAAGTTTTCAGAGACAGTAAATAGCATGGGAGGAGGTGCATTTGAACCAAGTACCTCTGCATTGTCTTACCACTTGCTTGGCATTTCTTCAACTGAAGAAACTAAAGAACAAATTCAAGCTTCAAGTTGCAATAGTTAAGTATGCTATAGGCAAACTACGCAACGATCCAGGAAACATTAAAAGAAGATGGAAGGAGTACACAGAGTCTCTAAAAAAGAACTGACAGACATAGAAGAATTTAATTCAACAACATATAAACAAGACACAATGGTGATGAAGCAGGAGGTTCAAGCTGCTCTGCAGAAACTGGCAAAAAAACAAGGCCCCAGGAATTGAGAGAACACTGACTGACATATTTAAACAAACACATTCTGGTCTGAATACGCTCACCAGGTTGTGCCAAAAAACCCAAGAACAACTACCTGGCCAACTGACTGGAAGAGATCCATATTTATTCCCATTCCAAAAAAAGGGTGACTCAACAGAACAGAGAAATTATCAAGCAATACCACTAATATCACAGGAAAACAAAATCCTTGAAGGACATCATTCCTGGAAGGGTGGAGGGACAGCAGAGGAGTAGAAGATGCTGGATGAGATGGACTGACACAGTAACTGAGGGAATGGGGTAGGAGAGTCGGAGACAGTGAGACTGGCTCAGGATATGCCAGGGTTCAGGTACATAGGGTTGCTATGAGTGACAGATGGCGCTCTGGCATGTAACAACAAGAAGCCATCAGAATTCCCTAATCAGAATTACGGAAAAACAAAACAATACAAAGGCAACATTACCATAATGTCTAGGAAACAACAAATAACCACTCAAGAAAAGATATAGTAAGTAAACATAAAATAGTGATCAAAATATAGAACCAGAAAATATTTTGGTAGAAGAAATGCAACTTTCTGACAAGAAATTCAAAAGACTGATGGAGAAGTGTCTCTAAATAAACTTACAATGAACTCAAATTTTTTCAAACCCTTATAAAATAGAGAAGAATTTAAAACAATTCAACACCAATATATAAAAACAATGGAAAATTAGAAGCCATATAAAAAGGAACAAATGGAAAGGAAGATTATTAAAATTAAAAAAATAAAAATACAAAGGACAAAAAAGCAGAATTAAAGCAATACAACATGCAAACAGTGAAAGAGGGGAAACTTCTGATACTAATCTGTTGGAGAACAATCAGAAAAAAGAAGGAAGGAAAATAAAGTAAGCTAAGAATTATGTACAAAATCATTAAGAATAACTTACATGTGATTTCATGTCCAGTACAGGAAGAAAACAAAACATAAGAAAAAAAAAATCACTGACCTGCTAGAAGAAAATTCCCTAAACATTATGAAAAATTAGAAAATAACCATTCAATAAGACATGAAACTATCTCTATATGCAGGTGTTAAGATAGAGTACCCAGAAAAACCTAAAGAATCAGCAAGAAGACTGTTGGACTTAGGAGACAAATTCAGCAAAGTGGCAGCATATAAGATCAACATAAAAAAACCCAGTCAAATTTCTCTACAGTTAAGAGAGGACACTGAAAAAGAAGTAAGAAAAACACTACCCCTACAAACAGGAGAAGATAAAGTAGATGAATGGGATCTTCTAAGAATCAAATCCCTATGCACTTCCAAAAACTTCTCCAACAGGGTAAAAAGGGAAGCCACAGACTGGGAAAAAGTATTTGGCAATGACATCTCAGATAAGAGACTTACATCCAGAATTTATAAAATACGTGAGCACCACAACAAGACAAAGGTAAATAATCCAATAGAAAAATGGGCACAGGATATGAACAGACACTTCACCAAAGAAGACATTCAGATGGCTAACAAGCACATGAAGAAATGTTCAAAATCTCTACCTCTAAGAGAGATGTAAATTAAAACTATGAGATAGCCTCTCACCCCAGTCAGAACTGCAAAATTTAACAGAAGAGCAAGCAACAAATACTGGCGAGGTTGTGGAGAATCTGGAACCCTTATTCACTGTTGGTGGGAGTGTAAAATGGTGCAACCCCTGTGGAAGGCGGTATGGCGATTTCTCAAAAAGTTGCAAATAGAGATACCATTTGATCCAGCAATTCCACTACTGGGAACATAACCCAAAGAGACCATAACAGACATTCAAGCAGATATATACACATCCATGTTTATTGCGGCTTTGTCCACAATAGCAAGGAGTTGGAAACAACCTAAGTTCCCATTAACAAATGAATGGATAGAGAAGCTGTGGGATTCACACAATGGAATATTATGCTGCATTGAAAAACAAGGAACTCATGCAATACTATTAAAAATGGGTGACTCTGGAGGACATTATGCTGAGTGAAGTACCTCAGTCACGAAAGAACAAATACTGCATGATGCCACTGTTGTAAAACAGTACTGACCTTGGGGCTGGGGAGAGACTGAGAAAGATGGGTTCAATAATGTATATTGCATTGAAATAGATAAGGGAGAAAACTCTTTAAAAGGGATATGTGATTAGGTATTTTTGTCATGACAGGAGTCTAGAGCGAAGGCTACATGGTGGAGTGGACCTGGGGGAGGGGAGGGTTTGTAAAACAAAGAATTTTTCTTTTACTTTTCCAGGAAGGTAGTATACTAGGGGGGAGGGATAGGAGGGGAGAAAAGTACAACAATGAATGAATGGATCCAAAGTCTCTGTAAATTTTTACTGAAATGAGTAATAAATTTAAAAAAAAAGAAAAAAACAACCAACACTACCAATTACAATGTTGTTGTTATGTGCTGTCGAGTCGCTTGCAACTCATAGCGACCCTATGTACAACAGCCCTAAACTCTGCTCTGTCCTGTGCCAATCACACTGTCTCTGACACTCCCATCCCAATTATCCCAGTCACTGAATCAATCCACCTCATAGAGGGCCTTCCCCTCCTGTGCTGTCCCTCCACCCTCCCAAGCATGATGTCCCTCTCCAAGGACCGGTCTCTCCTTACAACATGTCCAAAGTATGTTAGATGGAGCCTCAAAATCCTTGCCTCCAAAGAGCCACCCAGTTTAACCCTTTCCAGGATGAATCTGTTTGTTTTCCTAGCAGTCCATGGTACTCTCAATACTCTTCTCCAGCACCACAGCTCAAAGGCATCAATTCTCCTTCTGTCCTCCTTGGTCATTGTCCAACTCTCTGATGCATAACAAGTGACTGCAAAAACCATGGCCTGTATCAGGGGCACCTTAGTCTCCAGAGAGACACCATTGCTCTTTAGTACTTTGGAGAGGTCCCTAACAGCAGACTTTCCCATGGCAATGCGCCTTTTAATTTCCTGGCTACTGGTGCCAAGAGTGTTGACTGTGGAGCCAAGCAAACTAAAACTGTTAACAATTTCAATCTCTTCACCAACCATACTGATGCTGCCAATTGGCCCAGTGGTGAGAATCTTTGTCTTCTTGAC